GGACTTGGGGGTAACACATTAATCTTCACTTTTCACTACCTATGCCCTCTGGTGTCACTGTTTACATGTTCCTGGGGCCAGAGGTGCAGCCAGTGGCTGAACCATCATTTACTGCCCAGCAGTGGGGGCAGGAATTATAACTCGCAATCAGATAGATGGGTGAATACATGGCCAGGGGACATTTCCAGTGCCCTGGGAAAGTACCTCACAAATGTAGGAGGACCAGAACCCTGAGGTCAAGATGGGTTGGGGTGGGGAGAAGGTTAACCCAAGGGGAGTGAATAGCAGAGAGAAACAGCTGGGCTTGGGCAGAAAGGCATGTGTTTAGAATCACATAGGTGTAGGTTCAAGATTTAAGGGTACCATCTATGGGATTTTTGTCACTAGGGTCTACTTGTTCATCTGCAAAATGTGAGTGGGGGTGGCTTCCCTGCCCCCAGCACTGCTGTAATCCAATCAGGGATAAGTGGACACCATAGCAAGTGATCCTTTCAGGAGTTCTTTGTGGGAACAGTCATCCTGTGGGGTTCAGATGAACTGAGCTCTACCCTATAGAGCTGTCAAAGAAGCAGATGCCTTTGGATGCTCCAGCTTCCCCTTGCCAGACTTCAACTCCTAACTCACACTCCAAAGAACCAGGAGGAGGAGGAAGTGGGGGGTTGCCTTGCAGAAGGAGAGACACATTCCACTGTGAGGGGTATTGTGCTGCAGGGTGAGGGAAGAACTGGCTGCGGAAACAGAAGAAGGAAAACCTGAGTGTAACTCCAAGATTCCTTCCCTTAAGGATCCTCTTTAAGTCTCATGGGACTCCTTTTCAGGGGCGAATGAGAGAGAAGAGTCTAGTTCATATTTTACAGGGGGATATTGCTTGCCACCATTGATGGATCTCATAGGCCCTGTTGGTCAGCGATGAATGGGGCCAAGGCCCCATGATGGAAGTGGCTGGGGTCCTCAAGGATTACGTAGGGTGAAGTCCAGCTCAGCAAGAAGCTGATTGACCACCGACTTGAGAGCCAGGGCCAGGAAAGGTGCATCGTGGACTCATGTAGTTTAGAATTATCTGCAACTGTGATTGTGTGTGTCCTGGGAGTTCAGGACGCAGTCAACAATCTCTGGGCTGTCACCTATGAGGCTTCATATACATATCAAGAAACTTGACCTTCTCAAATCACTTCTCACCCCTTATCTAAATGTGGCATTTCTTTTACTGATTTCAAAATTTCTTAGACAGAGTCAAAATCTTGCTACTAATTGTCAACCAGAAAATCTTTGACTCCAACTATGACTCCCAAGTCCTGTCTTGGAGATGTCCCACCTCCCCAGACCAATGTAAAATCAAATGTATTGATTTCTGGATTTTTGGGTGACTTCTGTCTTCCTAAGATGTATATAACCAAACTGCAAGTCAGCCATTTTGGCCACCTGTTCTCAGAACCTCTTAGGTGGTGTCATGGGCTAAGTCACTCACATTTGCCTCAGAATATACCCTCTTAAATATTTTACAGATTGGCATCTTTAATCAACAAACTCCTTATTTCTTCTTGCCAGAGAGAAGAGGACTCGTCCCCGTGAGTTTGGAGGAATTAACAACAGGCTAAATGAATAAAATATTGCATTCCAAGCAGGGCTCAGTGGCTCAGCCTGTAATCCCGAGCTTTGAGAGGCTGAGGTGAGTGGATTGCCTGAGCCCACGGGTTTGAGACCTGCCCGGGCAACTTGGCGAGACCTCATCTCTACAATAAATCAAAAATTAGCCGGGCGTGGTAGTGTGTGCCTGTAGTTCCAGCTACTTGGAAGGCTGAGGTGGAAGGATCGCTGGAGTCTAGCAGGTCGAGGCTGCGGTGGCCGGGAGTGGCCACTGCACTCCAGTCCAGGTGACAGAGTGAGACTCTAATTCAAAAATATATATATATATTACATTCCACTATTTATAAAAAAAATTAAAACTTGTTTTTCTAAAAAAAGGAATTTAGAAAGATAAACTTAAAGATGGAAAATACTACATCTATACAAGCAGTAAATGAAAGAAAGTTGGTATCACTATCTTGGTATCAGATGAATAAGCCTTTATAAAAAAAAAACACTAGTATAAAGATGGGGGGTAAAAGTCAGGATTAGGTACATAAGTAATCTGACTTTGTTTGCTACCTGGTGCTGAACAGCTGCTGACTCTGCAGCTCTCAGCTCCAGCCCCGGAGAATTCCTGGCTTCATCCTCCATCCCAAGGAGCCCGCAGCACACCAAACTGCAGCGCCCAGCTATATTGCTGGTTCTGAATGCCTGATGCTGGACACACACCATCATCGCCCATCATAGCAGATCAACTAGGACTCCGGATGAATGGAGAGAGGGGATCGGCGAAAGAGGAGCCACCCACCACAGTCATTTTCCAGGCAAAGATTCACATTGCCCTACCCATCTCCACGCAGCCTCCACCTTGTTTTCTAAGGTAACCTCGCCAAAACAGGAGACAGAAGCCCCTCCCCTACGCTGAATCAGACACAGACAACTCAGTCCTGTGTGGCAGACCTATCAGGCAGCAAGCCAAGGGAACTGACCCAAGCTATGAGTAACTCTATCTGCCTGCAAAGAGAGCAAAGGGGAGGGGCTAGAGATCAGAGCTGAAGAGATTTTAGACACTCAGGAAAGACCCCAGAGCTAGTCTGGTTTCTTATTTTGATTTTTTATATTTTATTGTTTTGACTGTTTGTTATGTTCACTTCTGTTTGCTTTTTGATTTAGACTACCTGTTTGTGTTGGGGAAGAATCAAAAGGCATGATTTTATTGGACTGTCTTTGTGTTATTACTGGCATGCTTTAGGGAATTTTGTTTGTTTGCTTGCTTGCTTTTTACTCTTTTCTGGCCTTGTGTCTCTTTTCATTCGTTAGTTGTTATGTATGTCTGTTTTCCCTCTTACTCTTCTCTCTCTCCAACTTCCTCTTGATCTCCCCTTCTTCCATTATTTTCCTTTTTCTTACTTTCTTTTGTTCCAGGGAGCAAACCTAAACCCGACTGCATGGACAGATTGTAAGGCAGTGGGAAGTGGGTTCCAATGTGCCCATACACCTGTTAGTGGATACTGGGATCTGCACATAGATTCTGAATCACAGCTTCCCCCTCAAATCTCAAAACTGCAAAAAGTACAGCCCCCAACCCACAGTCCAGCCTCAAAAGTGAATAAAGCCAGAGGACCCTCATAAGGAAGAACAGGAGATTGAAAAAAAAGAAGTAAAAGCTACCCCACCTTCCCTGAAAAATAGAATTAAAGAAGGGGAGGTAAAGGGGAAGATAAAAATCTACACAAATGAAAAAAAAAACCAAAAGAAAGATACGGATCTCTCACAGACCACTTGGAGGTCAGACACTCAGAAAACAGACTTCAGAATGCAAACAATGAAGAGCCCCCAGAATGAAGGGTCTCAAACTACAAACCTGGATATCAAGACATTAATAGAGAGATTAAAAAGAGTTGAGGAGAGACAAGAGGAAAATAGGAAGGAGTTGATAACTGAGATAACTGTAGTGAAGAATACTGTGAATGAAATAAATAACAAACTGATAAGCATGGAAAGTAGAATTAGCCAAGCAGAAGAAAGAATCTCAGGGCTTGAGGACCAAAATATAGAACTAACCCAAACTCAAAAACATAGAAAAGAAGCTTAAAAAGAAAGAACAAAACCTTCAAGAGATGAGTGATTACTTCAAGAGACCGAACCTAAGAGTAATTGGACTTCCTGAGGCAGAAAGAGAGACAGAGACCACCTGGGAACAAACATTCCATGAAATTATTCAAGAAAACTTCCCTTATCTCATCAGTGATGCGAAAATTCAAACATAGGTACATAAGTAATCTATGTACAGGTGAAGTTTGGGCCTCCAACTGATCCTCACTTCCCCTGGTTTAAGATGAGATACACGTTCTGTTGTTACATGTCCTCCCCTCTCTTTCCCCTGGCAGTGTCCCAGAATTGCCCATCCTTCCCTTTTGCTATTGTGATTGGTGACAGTAAAGTGTATCACCACAGGTTTAAAAAAAGAACTTTAAGCCGGGCTCAGTGGCTCAGCCTGTAATCCCGTGCCTTTGGGAGGCTGAGGTGAGTGAATTGCCTGAGCCCACAGGTTCGAGACCCACCTGGGCAGCAAGACCTCATCTCTACAATAAATCAAAAAATCACCCGGGTGTGGTAGTGCATGCCTGTAATTCCAGCTACTCAGAAGGCTGAGGTGGAAGGATCGCTGGAGCCCAGCAGGTGGAGGCTGCGGTGGCCGAGAGCGGCCACTGCACTCCAGTCTGGGCGACAGAGTGAGACTCCAACTCAAAAAAAAAAAATTAAAAATTAAAAAATTAAAAAAATAAATAAATAACTTTATAAAGATCAAAGGTCTATTTTCTCAGAGAAATAAAAACATTCTAAGTATGTATGCATCTACTAATGGTGCCTTAAAATTCACAAAACAAATATTCATGGAATTAAAGCTCTTATCACTGGGGGCTTCTTTTGCTGAATGACTTAATGTCTCCCCATGGGCCAGTGGCTCCTTGGGGACAGTGTTCAGATACAATGAGTTGACCGCATTGTAGAGAGAGGGAGTGCCCACCTCATGGTTGCTAAGGGATGGAGGAGAGGCTACAACTTACCCCACTGAGTCCCCCATCTGTCCTGTCCCTGGGTCCCTCCTCTGACCTCCACAGACATCCACAGCTTGTAACTCGGGGGAGCCAGGTCCTGCATGGGGTGTAGATATGGGTGAGTCTTTTACCTCCTCTGGCCTCGGGGTCCCCAGGAGTGGTAGTGGGGTAGGGGACAGTTGATCTCCAAGGGCTGACCTGGCCCCAACAGGACTTGGGTGTGAAGTTCCTCCTCTGAGAAGGTCACTTTTCTGTCCTCACCCCCATCTTCCTGTGGGGCCGCCTGTAAATCTTGAATTCTTAGTTCCTGAAAGAAGGACCCTGAGGAACAGACTTTCCCCGGTGGCCCTGGCACCTCCCACCCCAGACATGTTGCTGCTGCTGCTGCTGCTGCCACTGCTCTGGGGGATAGAGGGACAGGAACCACACAGGGATGGTTACACGTTGAATGTGCAGGGACTGGTGGCAGTGCAAGAGGGCCTTTGTGTCTCTGTGCCCTGCTCCTTCTCCTCCCCTCACCACTTCTGGATTCACTATATCCCAAGTTATGGCTACTGGTTCCGGGAAAGGACCGATGTTTACCAGGATGCTCCAGTGGCCACAAACAACCCAGCTCGAGAAGTGCAGGAGGAGACCCAGGGTCGATTCCACTTCCTCGGGGACCTGCAGACCAACAACTGCTCCCTGAGCATCAGAGACGCCAGGAGGAGTGACCAGGGGACATACTTCTTTCACCTGGAGAGTGGAAGGCTGAGATATTCTTACAAATATTTCCAGCTCTCTCTGTGTGTGACAGGTAAGGCACAGGCTCCAGAAATAGCCACAGGAGAAGGTCATGGGGCTGTAGGGAAGTACTGGGATGGGACCCTAGTCCTGGGAGGGGGTTGGAGTGAAATATGTCGGGCTCAGGGAAGGGGCTGGACTACAGCCTGAGTTTTTCTCAGGGTCTCATCTCAAATCCTCCCTCCTGATCCTGGGTGTCCCTCTCTCCTCACCAGCCCTGACCCACACCCCTGACATTCTCATCTCGGGAACCCTGGAGACTGGCCACCCCAGGAACCTGACCTGCTCTGTGCCCTGGGCCTGTGAGCAGGGGACGCCCCCCATAATCTCCTGGATTGGGGCCTCCTTGTTCTTCTTGCCTCCCATCAGCACCCACTCCTCGGTGCTCACCCTCATCCCACAGCCCCAGGATCACGGCACCAGTCTCACCTGCCAGGTGACCTTGCCTGGGGTCAATGTGACGACGACGAAGACCATCTATCTCAACGTGTCCTGTGAGAGCTGGGATAGGATGGCAAGGCCCTGACAAGGGTTTCATGGGGGCAGAGGGAGGGGAGTCAGGGCTGGACACAGGAATCACAGGTCCTAGAATCTGGTCTGGGAGTAGAGGGTCAGGAGGACCTGGCTCCACCTTCTCCATCTATGCAGCTGCTGGAAGAAGGGCCAGTGTCCACCACCCCCACAGTGATGTGAATCTGCTGTGTCTTTCTGTCCAGATGCTCCTCAGAACTTGACTGTGGTTGTCTTCCGAGGTGATGACACAGGTAACACAGAGCGCCCTCTCTGGGAGGGGGAGCAGGGCCTTCAGTTCAGGGCAAGGCTCCTCCTCATTCTGGACTCATCTGGTCACCAGAGACCCCCCTGTGGGTGAACCTAGGGCCCCTCCCCACCCTTAGCTCCCATGGTCCTCTGAGTATCTGTCCCATCCACCCCTCAGACTCCTCCACACACATACCCCTCGGCCCATAACAAGGACAGGTGACGTTCACACAGCAGGACCATCCTCAAGGACTCTCATCATCTGTCTCCCACCTCACCTTTTTCTTTCCCCTAATAGTTCTGACTGAAGTCCTCCTGGACAGGTGATGGAGTCACATGGGCAAAAATCCAAAATGCACAGAAGAGTCTGTCCCTAGATACCTGCCACCCTTCTCCAAATTGACCCCCATCTGTCCAGTCTGCTCTGAGCCTTGGTGTGTTCCCCGGGAGGATCTCAGAGATTGTTGGACATCAGTAAGAAGAACTGTCCTCGCCCTCCTCCAGAACTGTGTGGTGTCCATTGAACACATGGATCCTGATTCTGTGGACATCTTCTACTCATAGAGAGTCATGGCATTAATTGTGTTCTACCACAGAAATATTGCAACAAGTAATCTTATACGTTTTTCCACAAGTGCATCTGTATGTCCTTGGGGTAATTTCCTAAATGCAAAATAGCTGGGTCATTATTCTTTCGAGTCTTGAGAGATGCAGACACCTTGATCTCCATGGAGAATGGATGAGTTTCCATCCCAACAGGGAGAGTGACGTGTGAGTGTGTCCCCAGCTTCACATCCCATTTGGGGTGAGACAATTTGATCTTTGCCAACATGAGCTGAAAACTGGAATCTCGGAATCTCCATGTAGTTTTCATGAGCAATTTTCTCCTGAAAATGAATGTTGTGCACATTTGTATGACAAGGAACCATTGGTATACCTCTTATTCTGGGAACTCCCCTTTCATAACTTGCTCAGTTTTCTAGAGTGATTTGACTTTTTATCACTTATCCTTAAAGCTCTTTTCAGCTTGAGAAATCACTGTTTATAGGTGACATGAATTGCAGACACATTTTCCAACATGCCACGGTGGTTTACGCTTGGACGTCCATGATTGTCACGGTGTATTGGGATGTGTTTACTTCTGTAGTCTCATTTATCCATCTCTTTTACAGGTTCTGATTTCCCCGTCTGAGTTTATATCAACAAATCCCCCTGCTCTTCCTCCCATGTCCTGTCTCTGACCTCTACCTGTCCTCCCCTTCCCATCCCCCGCACAATCCCTCTTATTCCAGCCCTGCAGGTCTATTAACTGTTCTGTGAATGTGCTTAGATCTGCGTCACCTTTGCACTCTCTGCTGCCCCTTTTAAAAATGCCCTTCCACCCCTCACCATCCTGCCACCCTGCATGTCCTTCCACACTCTACGTCAGGCATGAAGTACATGTGCCTCCTCCAGGAAGCCCTCCTGGACCACATTTACATGGTTAATTTACATCATCACCTCCAGGGCTGACGCAGCCTAAGTCACCTCTATAATATGCCATGTGGCCTTGTGATCACCTGTTCCTAAATCCCCATTCCCCATCAGACTCTAAATTTCTGAAATTGAACCCCACTCAGAGGCACAGTGATACATAATAAACTAATGTCTCATGAAGAGGTGGATGAAAAAGAGGAATGTTCAGGGTGAACCTGGATTCTGAGTTGTTAGCAAGAGCATTGAAGAAAATGTGGGGTTTAGGTCTGAATGGACATCTTACCTGTGTTCCAGAGGGCCAAAGATCCTCCTTCTTTGATTTTCTGGGTATATTTCAAGCTGCACATGGCCTACAGTGCAGAGATGAATCCACACAATCCTGTCATGGAATCTGGAGCTTGACCAGACTCTGGCTCCTGCTCCCCGCCTCCCTAGGTCCCTCTCCCAGAACCTATGTTCCTCTCAGTCGGTGTCTGTACGTCTGAATCTGCTCCTCTCCTTATCCCTCTGGGTTCTCTTTCTTTCTCAACATCTCTCTATCTCTCTGACCCTCTCTCTTTCTCAACAGCAGTCACAGCCCTGAGGAATGGCTCATTACTCTCAGTCCTGGAGGGCCAGTCTCTGCGCCTGGTCTGTGCTGTTGACAGCAACCCTCCAGCCAGGCTGAGCTGGACACGAGGGATCCAGACCCTGAGCCCCTCACAGCCTTTGAATCCTGGGGTCCTGGAGCTGCCTCGTGTGTGCCTCAGGGATGAAGGAGAATTCACCTGCAGAGCTCAGAACCCTCTGGGCTCCCAGCACATCTCTCTGAGCCTCTCCCTACAGGGTGAGTGCCAAGGGACTGCACACCAGACCCCTCCCAATGACCTTCAGCTCCCAGGTCTCTGAGCAAGTCCTACCCTGGGGCTAGTAGGGGACAGGGGTATGCTCAGTTCAGCCTCACATGCAGCTGTGAGGCCTGGATTTCCACAGGGCCTGAGTCCTCTGTTCACTGCAGGACAGTCTTTCTAGGGGGTAGAGTGAGGCCTGAACTGATCATGCCCCACATTCATGAATGAAAGAAGCGTCTGGAGACCTCATGTCCATCTTCCAATAGAGAAGAAAGACTGAGGATTGTTGTTCAACAAGTGAATCGACCTCATCCCATTTATTTGCAGGGAAACCAGGGCCCCTGGCAGGTTTGCTTCTGTTGGCCCTTGTGGAGGCGTCTGTGAAGATCCTGCTTCTCTGTCTCTGCCTCATCTTCCTCAGGTGAGCGCCACCCCAGGATCTAAGGAGAGGTGTGAACAGGCCAGGGACATGATGCTGAGTTCCTTGTTCTAGTGTCGGAGGGACCTGAACAGGTCCAAGGGTGAGACAGGATGCTGCAGTGTGGATAAGAATCTACCTAGGTGAACAGTTGTTTGTTCACGACTGGCTGAGCATCCAGGGTATGGAGGTTTCTGCTCTCATCAAGGGGGACTTGGGGGCTTGACAAATTCTCTGCCCTTAGTCTCCTGCACTTGCTTAAGGAGGCACAGGGAGGTGACTCTGCAGCCCTCTCACCCTGATCTGACTGCACTGACAGGTCCTGGTCTCTTTTCTCAGAGTGACGTCGCACAGAAGAAAGGAGGCAGAGTCAGCAGCCAGCATGGAGGATGCAAACACTGTCACGGTTCTTCTCTCAGGTAAGTGTCATGGGCATCTCACCATCCAACATTCCACTGGACACGTCCTCCAGGAGGCTCTAGGATTGCTCTACTCAGCATGGCCAAAGTGGAGCCACCCGTCCTCTGTCCAAACCCACGTCTTCTTCTGGGTTCCTTATCACCCTGATGACACAGTGCCCTCAACCATAAAAACAGAGCAAGGTAGTGTTTCTCACCTTGACTTCCCTCCCTTCCCCAGATCGCATCCATCACTGACTCTTGTTGCTCCTTCTCCTAAGCATGGCTCTTCTTGGTGCCTTTTCTCCATCCTGGCCTGGTCCTTCCTGCAGCCTCACCTCTTCCCTGGACACTGACCATTCCCCCTCCTGTCTCCTTCTCTCCCCAACACAGGCCTGCAGACTGTGCTTCCAGATGCCTCCTCATCCAGGTCCTCCACGGTCTAAATGGCCGTGTTTCCCTCCATTGCTGGAGAGCCAGGTGCCAATGCCACAGTCTGAACTGAGGGTCATGCATGAACTTTTCCTGCTGGACTCTGTTCTAGATGACATGCAAACAACCAAGGATAACATGAAAAGATGCTCATCGTCATTAATCGTTTGACAAACTGCATAGGAAATACTACTTCACACATATCAGGAGAACTGTTTAAAAGGAAGAGATCAAACGAAAACTAAAACAGAACTCCTAATTGTACACATGGATGTGGAGAATCTGAAGCCTTTTGCACTGCATCTAAAATGGTATAACCCTGTGGAGAACCTTTAAAAGTTTCCTTTTATAGTGGTTTTTCCTTTGAAAGTTAAGTATAAAATCACCGCATGATCCCAGTATTCCAATACTGGACACTTTCCTTCAAATCAAAAGCATGGACTTAAGCAGCTAGGAGTACACCAGTGTCCTTCACAACACTATTTACAGGAGCTGACAGGTAGAAGAGACCCCAGTGACCATGGATCCATGACTAGATAGAAAAAGTTTCTACATCCATAAAACGGGATACTCTCCAGTCTTAAAAAAGGAATGGATGGAATTCTCAACCATATTACAATGTAATTGAACCTTGAAACAATAAACATAGTGAAGGAAGCCAGACACAAGACCACAGATAGTGTATGACCCTACCTATGTGACCTACCTACAATAGGCAAGTTCATCAGGACAGAAAACAGAATGTGGCCGAGGGGCTGGGAAAGGGCAGGGGGATAGAGAGTGAATGTGCAGTGGGTACAGAGTTTCTGTTTGAAATGAGGAGAAACTTCTGAAAAACAACAGTGGGAATGGTTGCAAAACAATGTAAAAGTGTTTGATGGCACTGAAGTGTACCCTAGAGAGTGTTAAGGTGGCAACTGTTCTGTAATAAATATTTGACCAAATAAAGCAGGGCAAAAGCTATCTCTGTCATTAAATTGCTGTCATTTTAGAGACCAGAAGAAAAAAGTAACAATGAAATGGAAGCCTGCAGCTTGGTGATCTGTGTTGGGAAGAAAACCACGCAGGAAAGTGTACTTTTGACAATCTGGGGACAGTTTCCGGGTGTGATGGTTGATGCGATGATGTCAGGTAAAGATGTGGAGTGGTGAGGATGCAGGCTCTGTGTCTGCTTAAGAAAAGAATCTCCCAGGAGGAGGGAAAAGGAACAGGAGTACAGGACTCAGGGGCAGCAACAGGCCCGGGAGCTGTGGACAAACCTGGAGGCCCTGGTCTGAGGCTGCAGGAGGCAGGAGGAGGGAGCAGCGGGGAGGACAGTGCAGACCTCATGGGGACCTGAAGCCACACAAAAACCTGGAGACTTCGGGTGAGCAGAGACATGCCTGGACTTTTCCTCTAACAGGACCCCATGGCCACCTTGGTCAGAACGGCCTGAGTGAGTTACGACAGCCTCAGAGAGATGGGAAGACACCATTGGATCCCTCAGGAGGAGGGACAGAGGCTTGAACTAAGGAGGCAGGGTGAGGACATGTTTAGGGATGTGTGTGGGAAGTCAAACTCAGATGAGTTTTTAATGGATGTGATCAGTGATGGGAATGTAGGGACAAAGATGATGCCAGAATTTTCCCCTGAGCACCTAAAAGGAAGGAGCTGTTTCTCTAGAGGACTGTAGAGAGGGTCTTGAGGGAGGATGGCAATTTTGAGGGGCCACATGACAGACAATTGGATAAGTCACAGAGACAGCTGGATACAAATGTTGGACATCAAGAGAGGGGTGCCGATGAGAGATGTTGAAATTATAGTGACCATAACGGCTTAAAACCTTTTGGAAGTTCTCTCTCTTATCTAAACCTTTGATATTGTGCTTTCACTTACCTGAGGGACAAGACATTGAGCTAGTTTGTCTGAAAGACCAAAATCGCATAACTTTGATGACAATGGGTTGTTTAAATAGTTCTATTTTATTGATAGCTATTGTTGTTCATCTTATATTGTGCTAATTTAACAATTGAAGTTAATCATAGCCCTGTGGATTTGGGAAACTCGAAGTGTATATTGGGCTCAGAACTCTCTGTGGTTTCAGGCATCCCAGGAGTTTCTGGAATGTCTCCACCACAGCTGGGGGCACAGAGGGGTGCACATCTTCAGAGTGCAAAGTGATGACAGTGATGAAGCAGAAAAGGAATGATAAGACTTTGAAACCTACCTCAAATACTTGGAAATAGAAGACACATGATGCAGCCATTCCACCTCTGATTCTACACCCCAAAGAAACACAAGTTGAAACTTAAATGGGTATTGACATATCCATGTTCATGGCAGTTAATTCATCAGAGACAAGAGGGGAAGCAAGTGTTTCTAAACAGATGGATGGAAAAACAGAAGTGGTCTGTGCGTGAAGTAGAACAGGATTCAACACATAAAAAGAAATAAATTCTGACACATGAAGCAATACAGATGAACCTTGAAAACATCCTGCTAAGAGAAAAATGCTGGTCATGAAAAATCAAATACTATAGGATTCCACTTCTATGAGGCGATGTGAGGCGTCACCTTCCTATAGAGTAAATGTAGTGATGGGGTACCAGGGCTGAGAGGGGAAGGAGTAGTTGCTATTTTAGACAGACATAGTTTCAGTTTTGCACTCATGAGAGTTCTCAAAGCTGATCTCACAACCACATGAATATGCCTAACGGTACCGGGCTGTGCACTTAAAATAAGTGCAGTAGTGACATATGGGTTCTATGTATTTCACCACATTTAAACTTTTCAGAAAAGGGGGAAGTTTATTTTAGGTGGAGAAGCCTCAGAGAGTCCAGCTGCACCCAATGAGGAAGAACAAACTGAGAAGAACCAGGTGAGAACCAGGCTGCATCAGTCTCCTCTCTCCTAGATACATCCACTTACTGTGGGGTCCAGAGATTATTTCCCGACAACACTATGGATTCCTGGACCCCAGAGGACACGTCCCATTGGGACCTCGTTATTCTATCTCACTTCACCTGTTCCCATCCATCAGACAATAATTCTCAGCTAGATAATTATCTTCTTGTTGTAGATGGTCTGCTTCCTGTACCGTAAAATAGGTTGGATGAGGATTCCTTTCATACTCACATCTATCCAAGCTCCTTAGAGGATCTCAGCAGGAAATTACAGTCTCCTGATTATTTGTCTCCTCAATCTACCATCACGCATGTGCTACTTGCATAAATTATCTACACATGGACATATTGAAGGACTGTCATTCTACCTACCACATCATCCAATAGGATAACTATTATTAGTGTAAATAAGTGAGGAAATGGTGCACATAAAGAGATAAATGAAGTCTCAGAAATGTGGAAGAAATGAATGACTCACTCACCAATGATCCCATCCTCAGTTTCTCTAATGTACCTACTGCCAAATGTGATCTTCTCCTCCCTCACTAGAGGTCACCAGCTGGTGTCCTGGCCATGAAGAGATACCTGTTCCCTCCTGCTTTGAATAAGCTCATCTATTCTAGTTTATGGACAATATTAGGGAACCACATGGGACAGGCAGATCCATGAGACTGAGTGGAAGGAAACAGACAGCAATTTTCAATGTGTACAAAGTCTTCAGAAGATCATGTGCAAATTCATAGAATTCAAGCTCACTTGCTCAGATTACAAACCACACAGAAAAACAAGGAGACAATTAGCATTAAATGAGGCTCAGGGCATCAGGAAGGATTAGGCATAATCCATAGGTAAGGAGAACATGTAGGGTTGGAGTCCAGGGTTCTTTCAATGTTCTGTTTCCCAGGAGATATTCATTTTTGTGAATCACTGAGCTGTCCTTTTGGCATCACTTTTATCTCTATGTCGCATGTTTTCCTCAATCAAAGTTTCAAAAATACTTGATATGGGTATAAGGAGGCCACACTTCCCAATCCTCCCTCCTCCCAGTTCAGTCACAGGGTTAGAAATAATATCCTGTTAAATTCCTGGACCTATTCTTTCATTCATGAAATCCTGACACTCTTGAGGGGACAGACTCAAACATGGTGTCCTTGTTCCAATGTCCTGTGTACCAAGACTCCTGGGAAAGAACCTTCAGGAGCAAAGCTCTGGGGATGACAGAGGTGACATGCTTTGGGTGACCAGGGGACATGTGGCTCAGTGAACAGACAGAGGGAAGAAATCCCAACTAGTGCCCACAGAGCTGTGAGAAGAAAGAATGTCCACCTCTTTCAAAATCCGCCCATTTCCTCTGACTCTTGGCCCTTTAAATCCCACTGTACAACTGTCACAGCCTCAGACTCCCTGACCTCTTGTGACCTGGACTCCACTGGTGTCCTTGACATGTGTTGACACACGGAACCCTCAGTTCCACAGTCCCAGTTTTCCTGAGACCCAACCTCCAATCTAGGTGAGAGATCCCGTCCCTTCCTGTGTGACCTCCACTCAAGCTCCTGTCACAGGAGCTCAGACATCAGGAAACTTGTTGTGACTCCTTGGGCAGTGTCCAGGTCCAATGTGTTGACCTTGTCATGCAGAGAGGGGATGCTGACCTCATGGATGTGAAGGGAGGGAGGAGAGGCTGTGCTCACCTCACCTGCCCCCATCTCTCCTGTCACTGAGTGCCTCCCTGAAATGCACAAATATCCATAGTCTGTGACTCAGGGTTGTGGACAGAAGGAACCCATTTTGACTTTGCAGAAAATGTGATCAGAGGAGAAAGACAACACAGACAGACAGGACATGGGAGTTGAACTCTGTATGGGGTGTGATTTGGGGTGAGCCTCTGGCCTCGGTGCCCCCAAAAGTGAACATGGGTGGTGAAGGTTTATCTCCAGTGTCTGGGTGTGAGTTTCCTCCTCTGAGGAGGTCACTGTTATGGCATCACCCCCGCTAGATAATTATCTGCTTCTTATCAATTGTCTGCTTCCTGTACTGTAAAATCAGTTGGATGAGGTCAAGCCTGCATCTTCTTGGGGATCCCTTCTGTACCTTCATCTACCCAAGCTTTGGCCTTTAGAGGAATTCAATAG